ACCTGGTGGAGGTGGAGGTCGGCATTGGTGTTGACATCATCACTCGCTGGTAGTCAAGTTGTCTGGTTGCTTCATTGCTGTAGTTGTAGGCTTAGGCTGTAGAGTAGATAGGGCGCCTGGCGCCATTCACAAGAGAGAGCTACATTGGGTTATGCTGTTGGTGTTGCCCTGTTGGGCTTGGACATTGACTCACGATTCTTCTGTATCATTCTCAATTGGATGGTTACTCGGTTCCATTGTGCTATCTGCTCTGGCTTTGACTACATGGACTTCAGTGTGATTTTGCATTCTGGATTTCTGTGTTTCGTCCATATTCATGTTCCTTGCACTTGGTGACTATTCGGGCTATTTGCCCACACTCGGACATTGTATTCTGGACAGAGACTATGGGAACTATTGTGGGGACTATTCTTTCACAGGGCTATCATCAAGTTGCAGTCTCGCTATTCTTCTCCCCCTTCGTCTTTTTCCTCTGTCCCCTTCGTCTGTGGATGCAGATGTACTTGGGTCATGGCAATTCTCTCTTCCATGTTTGCATCCTGCGCCATGTATGAGATCTCTTTCCATTATCTTCGACTGTGAAAAAACAATAAAAACAGACAGATCTCTGGCTATGCTAAAAAAATTACCTGGAGAGAGGTAACTCTGCTGCTTTCCTAGCGTACATTGCCGGAACCTTTTTGACAGCGGCTAGGTGGATCTCATCCGGACCAGGCGGTGCCTTAAGAGCACCGGTTGGAAATGCGCATTCTGGTCTGAGGTTGTGGGTTCAAAACCCTGCAGCCTCGTGCATGTACACGGGCGGGCGTTCACCAACGCATGGCTGTTCGCACCCTTCCCTTGGGTTGGTTCATGGTAAGGATTACAGACACTGCACGTACCACCCAGGGGTTTAGTCCATGGCTGTTGCATGTTGGGTCTAGGCTACGAGAGGTCTTCCGACTATGCTTCTGTCGATAAGGGCTGAGCAGGGTAAGCGGGGCTCTGCTCAGCCCTGGTACCTGCAAGTGCTGGCCAAGAGATGACTGGAGGGTGATAATCCGGAGTGGTAGACACTGAGGTAGGATCGTGGGATTGGGGGTGCGCCGGGAAGCAATTACAAGAGTGGAAGGGTGGCAGGGAGTCTCATAGGAATGGGGGCCTTCTATAGACCATCTGAACAACCAACCACACGGCCGACTACTGAGGGTGACTGTCATATGTCTAGAATCCAGCCTCTACAACAACCTGGGCTTTTTTTTTTAAGTGCTCTGGTTTGGCTTTCTTCCTCAGGAGTTCCTTTCGAGTTTTTTTTTTTTTTGGGTGGCCTGATGGACAATGGGGCAGATACAGAGCCGAATGTGGATTGTATAATTGTATTCCTTCTGGATTTGTTTTCGAAAAATGATCAAAAATCGAAATCTGAAAGTAGTAAAATGTTATTTGTATATAATATGTTTATCCATTATATTAATATATTTAATATTATTATATTTCGAATTTTCTATCTTAATCCGGACAGCTCTGGAAGTCCTGATTTGTCAGATCCCTGACCACGGTCTGCCTGGATGATGACAGCCACTGAAACAGTGAAACCTGGGGGTTCCTCATTACCATCTGAAGTTTGACTTTTTGGCCCTCATGCCCGTTTATCCTCCTATATTCGCCCACTTCTCCCTTGCTCCCTTCTACCTCCCTCCCTCCCTCTCCCCAGCTCATTTGCCCACTCATGGATAGGAAACCGGATACCTCTGCTCCTGACAATGGAATGGCGCTGTCCCCTTATGGATTTGCCACCAAAACAAGGAAAGGAAGACACAAGATTGGTGTCACTATTAATGTGTGTCTTATGTACTTACACTTCGTTTTTTGTTCCCCACCACTCCCCCCCCAAACATTCGACCTCTCCTCCCCCTTCTTCACTCCCCTTTCTCCAGCTTTCTCTCCTTTCTCCCCTTGTGTGATCATCATTTTCTTGACTTTTCTAGCACACAGGGGAGGACAACCCATGGGATATTATTTGGCTGTGGGGGGGAATATGCTTAATAACCGCTTAAGAAGTTAATAACGCTGAGCAGGGTTCGAACTCCAGAGTTCAAAGTTCAATCTTGATAATCTCAACCTTGTTTTGTCAACGTCTTTTGGTGTGTACAGTTTGACCGAACAGCAGCTTAAAATAACCTCTTGTTCCTCAACTATGATTTATGTGCTTATGTATTAAATAAATTGGTTTCAAATTTCAATGGTTTATTTTTATTTTGTTAATTGCAAGGAAGATGAGCATTAGCGAACTTTGGCAATCAAACAGCATCGTACATATGAGTCCAGATAGTCTTGACCTCGAACCACAGCAGACTGGCATCACGAGATACACCAAATAAGAACACACCAAGAGTTCAAAATTGACAATGCTGAAGTAGTCCCATCATCATCAACTACGAACCAGAGTTGATATCCTATTGGCGCTCGGCGCCCAGACTACAGGTGGCAGATCCTATCTAGCCTATACTACGAAGCAGAATGATGACATCAACAGCGTTCCCGAAGTACGAGCATATGGCGACCAATGTCGCACGCTTCAGCACCAGGTATGTCTCTCGTAACACTCACAACCCCGATCCACACCGCACAGAACAGAAGATGCAGGAGGCTGTAGAACACATGCAGAAGGCACAGGCAGCAATGATAGAGTCTGAGAATAGACACCGCCGCCCTTCTACATTTCAGGTAGGGGACAGAGTCTGGGTCAAATCTTCAGAACTGGGACAGGAGTTCGGGATATCCCGCAAACTCATGCCTCAGTACTTTGGACCTTGGGAAGTTTTAGAMGTAGTAGGGACAGATCCTGATGGTCCATCATATGTCATCCGTATCCCTGGTCATCTCAGAACTTACCCAGTCTTTCACGCCTCTAAGCTCGTTGCATCCAAGGAAACTGATCAGTTTCCCTCCCGTCGATCCATGCTGCCCCCAACCATGGACGGAGAAGTCGACATCGATGATATTGTTGACCACAGGGAGATGCCTGTTCAAAAGCCTCCAGGAAGGGGACGTCCTCCAAAACCAAAGCTGCAGTTCCGAGTCCACTTCAGACATCATACAGATCCGAAGGAGGACCGCTGGTTTACTCGGGAGGAACTGATGCAGACCGCTCCTCAAATCGTTGCCCGCTATGAGAAGGATGCACTGAAAGGAAAGCGCCAGATGGCTACAGATTGATCTTCGAAGAGGACTAACGAAGATATGGAGGAGGGAATGCGAGGCTACGCCCGCTTAG